AACACCAACTCGACTTGATTTGAACTCGACTCGGCTTATCTGACTCGTGAGTTAACTCGACTCGTCCGGAACTCTAGGCTTAACATATAATCATAATTTTTGATTGCCATATTTGGAAACATATTAGAATATTCTGATCGGCATTTCTTTACTATAAAAGGCAAAGATCATCATAATAAATTTGGTAAAATCCTAGACTGTTATTTGGAAATAAAACCTTTCATATTTGTAACTGATCATTCAGCTTTAAAATGGCTACAAACCTTCAAATTACCTAAAGGTCGAAGAGTGAGATGGATAATGGAACTTCAACAATATGAGTTCACTATTAAATATAAACCTAGAAAGCTAATACAAATACTGATATTCTATTACGAATACCAGAAGAATTAAAGGTATTTTTCTTAAACTTTGAATCAGATGTAGAAACTGACTATATTTCTTCTATTGAAAATAACTATATCACAGAAAATTCATCTCATTCTAAGGAAAATAATGAATATGAGACTGAATGGTTTATTTCAAATCCCTCATAAAGTCAGGATCAGATGCTAGAAAGTGAACTTTTTGATAATTGGTTTAAGCTAATAATTATCATCATAGTATACCAATCTCTACCTGAGAAAATGCAGAATATATATAAAGCAAATATAAAAATCAAACAAGTTATAGTAGAACAACCTATAAATAGTGAAGAATCTAGATGTAACTACTCATGTGATATAGAAAACTACCACTTGTATATATATTGTAAAGCTTATAAGATAAATTTACCATATAACATATTAAACACAAGTGTATAATTGAGTATAAATTGGATCAAATTCAACTAGACATAAATTTAAGATATTTAAATAATCAAATATGGTGAAATAAGCCAATAGAAGTTAAAATACAATCATTAGAAACTTAGATGCAGGTGTTGCATAGAATACTTCAAGGACTTCCCTTCTACCTCACCCCTTTTGAACATATCCAATTTAGAATTCTGAATTAGATTAAAATTCTCTTTTTTTTATATATACTATTTTTGATATTTATTATTTACATTATTTATTACTTATATTACTTAAGGTAAAAGTAAAAGTGTATGCAGTGTAATATATAGCCTATTATAAATATTAATCAATATAATTGTATTTATTCTTATATTATAACAAATTATTCTCACAGAATTAATAACCTCCAAAGCTACCAAATAATTCAAAAACTTTTGTATACCTTATACAGTTCAGAATAATTATTTATATAGAAATGATAAAAAAACCCTAAAAAGCTATTAAGAATAATTAGAACTTATAAAATGAAACCTATTTTATACATGATGCATAATGATCTAACAGCTGAATATTTTGCTACTGATATTATGTTTAATAAAATTAGAAAGAGATATTATTGGCCTCAAATGTATAAAAATATTTATGCAAATATCAAAAGCTATAATAAATGCCAAAGAAAAGGAAAACCAAGCAAATATGAAGATTTATATCCTATTGCAATACAAGCACCTTTCTATCAAATCAGAATTGACTTTGTAGGACCTCTACCTTCCAACAGACAAAGAAAACAAATATATTATAATAGCTATTGATTATTTTACTAAGTGGCTAAAAGCAAAGGTTGTACCAGAAGCTACTACTTCTCAAGTAGCTCAATTTATCTATGAAGAAATTATTTGTAGATATGAATGCTTAATGAAGATACTAACTGACTGAGAAATTCACTTTAATAATAAAATGGTTAATAAATTAATGAATAAATTCAAGATAAAATATCTTCTATCAACTTCTTATTATTCACAAACAAATGGCCTAGTAAAAAGATTTATTAGAACTTTATGTGAGTCTTTAGCTAAAATTGTCCAAGAAATTTTAAATTGGGATTTGCAAATTGCATTTACTTTATTTGCATATTGAACTTCTAAGCAATCTACAACAGAAATATCTCCCTTTTATTTAACATATGGAAGAGATGAATGATTATCCTTTGATGAACCAATTGAAGAAAATGTGACTCTAAATCAACATATAGAATTTTTAGTGAATGATCTACTGCAAATTAGGAGAAAAGCTAAAAATTATGTGAACAAATTACAAGTAAATCAGAAAGATCGACATGATCATAACCTAAAAAAAATTTTTTATTTTAAAATAGAAGACAAAGTTATGTATTACTATGCGATAAAAGAAAAGCAATAGTCTGGAAAATTAGAACCAAAATGGAAAGAACCATACTACATTTGTCAAATCTTATTAAATGGATCTTATAAAATAAAAGAAATAAATAAAAAAGTTTTACAAATATCTATTAATGGAGATTTTTTAAAACAATATCATAATCAATAAAATTAAGAACCTTAAATAGCTATATAATTTATTTATTCCTTTATTATTTACTTAAATTTTTATTTTCTTCTTTATTTTATATTTATATATATATATTTTTTATTATATTCTTAAAAGATTTCAAAAGTGATTTGAAAAGAAAATTTTTCAATAATTCTATCCCTACTATACCTTTTTATACAGAAAATATGAAGCTAAAAAGAAAGTTTGAGATAACTTATCATATGTTAAGGAGAACCTCAATTCTTAGAGATCATATATTAATGATGACAAATGCCTTTTATCTAAGACAATTATTAGAAAAGGAAACTTCTTCTCCAGCTTAACGTACTTATTTTAAAGGCATAATAACTAAGTATTATTATACTGCATTAATATAAACTTATTTTATCTTTGAATTCCTAAGACTAGAATAAATTCAACAAACTCGATACTTAAGCCTTCCTAAAATATACTCAATAAAAAAAAGTAATTATCAATTTCTAATAGAAGAAGCAATATTGATTTAGTTCAAAGATCAAATTTAGAAGAGAAAATTGAAACTGGCAGAAACTGAAAAACCTGTCAAATATACCATATATACTAAATATGCTATATCTGCTAAATAGGATACATATATCATTTATTATATTTTTATTATATTTATCATTATTATTATTTATTTCATATTTAACATAATTAACATATCTGTTAGCTCTGTAATTATTGTCAATAGTATTATTAGAGGCATGTCAGAAATCAGCTGATTTTACTTTATTATAGAGCTAACTCTCACCCTTCACCTAATAATTAATTTGATTAGCTAAAAAAATTATATATAAATACTATAATATCAAAAGTAAAATAGTTAAATTAGAATAGTTAAATATGATATCAGAAGTAACTGAAAAGTAAAATAGTAAATAGTCAAATAAATAAAAATAAAATTAATAAATAAACTTATCTTTTGATCTATAAGTTCCTTTTTTGCTATTATTTTAAAATCAATTTATAAAAGAATTAAAACGTGATCTATTTGTTACCTTAATATATAATATAAATAATTATTATATGATTAATGCAATGTGATGTGTAGGAAAATCCATAGAAGAAAAACGTGTAAATGTGTTCTTACATTCTTCTTTACATTCTTTTTTTTTTAAAATCAATATGCAAAGTTTTTTGAAAGTATTAAATTTTAATAAAAACTTTTTTTATAAGTAGTTCCAAGATAAATATCAAGAATTTTGCAATATATATGCATATTATAAACAAGCAACACTTTGTAATTATAAGCCAAATCATCAAATAATAATGAAAGAATATATATAAGCTTAGAAAGAAGTCAAAAATAACGATACTGCCTTTATTGAGAATAAAATTTAAAAATATTATGATACCATACCTTCCACTATTCGCTCTTATTAAAGAATTTTTATGTCACATGATTCGACTAATAGCTCTCGTCAAACTTCTACTCCAAGAACTCTAAATACTCCAAAACAGTTTGTTAGGTTTATTAACATTATATTGTAGTTGAAAAGATCAATTTAGCTGCAAAAAGCATAGTTAAATATCAATAAATGATGGAGATTGCTACAAATGACTCAATGAAAGTTACGTTATCGTCTAAGATAATTGATGAACAAAAAAATATATTGCACAATTAATAAAGTTAAAACGTTATGCTGAAGCTCAATCAAGGTTAGCAGCAAAAAAACAGAAGTTGTTAGAAGAGGGTGTTATAAAAAAATATAATACTCTGAGAAAACCATCCACGTTTATGAAAGATCCAGATCTATAGATAAAATCTATGACAGTATTGAGTTTGAAGCTGCCCATGCTAAATGAAAAAAAGTGGTCATAAAAGTTAGAACTGTAAAGTATCTACACGAAACTCTAAAAGAAAAATATAATACTTATCTATCTCATCAATACTTGTCAACTTATCTTCAACCCCAAAATCAGTGCATCTTTACTGCATATCATCATCATCTAGCAAAGGTTGGTCTTGCCTCTGTATCATAAACAGAAATGAAATCTCATATTGATGAACATTTCTGTCTAGCTTCCATCAAAACCGCAAGAGTATTTGCTGAAGTTTTTGCTGATGAGTTAATTATTATCTCTCAAGATGATAAAGCAAAGGTCAGATTAGGCATTTTTGCGGTTAGTTGCACATTCAAAATAATCCAATTAGTTAATAAATCAGTAACTGTTAAAATTACGATTTCCTAATTGGTTCAAAAATAAAACTTATATCTTCTATTTATCTAGTTATTAATCCAGCTAATTCAAGTAATACCCTTCGTACTGATTAGTTATTTATTAGGCCAGAATATTTTATTGGAACTTTATCAAAGACCCATATAGCAGATTTAAAAAGTATTATTTCGAATGAAGAGTTTTTCACTACCCTAAAGAAAGAAGGCAAAGTTAGAACTATTTGGATCCTTCTTGTTGATGGTGAACCCGATGAGAATCTGAATCATATGAAAAATATTATTCAATATGCTCATCTTTTTCGTGCTCTTGACCTGAACTACTTGACGGTTTGTACTCATGCTTCAGATCAAAGTGTGTATAATCTGATCGAACTCAGCATGGCTTCCTTATCTGAAAAATTTGCTGGCATCACTCTATCTGTAGGGGAATTCAGATCACATCTAAATAGTTAAAAGAATATAGTAGATGATGAATTAGCATAACAAAATTTTGAATATTTAGGAAAAAAATTATATAATATATGAAAAAGGGATGACATATATGGGAAACCTGTGATAGTGAAATATATTGACTAGAAGAGACATCCGTTCAATGATTTGAAGTCTTCAATATTATGGAAGTGGACTAAGGACTATATGAGATTTGCTGCTATTCACTAGATATAAGAAAATGCAAAAATAATAAATGCTGTGATAAATATAGAGCTCTGGATACTGCTATCCTTTTGAATGAGAATAATGGATTCCTTCCTCTAATTACAAAAGGAAAAGATGGTTATTTTATTAATTCAATTCATGTTCTTCAATATCATGATAAACTCAAAATTCTAGAGTATGATAGTTGTTGCCCTTCAATTTTACGAGAATTACATCAGCGTCTATATTGTAGCATATGTAGCAAATACTTTCTAACCCTCAAGTTTATAGGTGACCATAAATGTAATGTATATTTTAGACATCGTAATAAGAAATCAAAAAGCCTTTAAAAATGAACTAACAAGACAGAAATAGGTTGTGTGTTTATTCTATTTAATCTAAATTTTAATGTCGCTGAAGATATAGTTCAAAGCAAAGATATGGGATCAGTTGAACAAGATCTTTGTGAAGTTCAGTCGGATAAAGATTTAAAAAAAGAAAAAAGTTAGCTTTTATATTAGTTTTATGTAATGATGTAATAACGTCAGATACTAAAATATTCTTACATATAATATGTGACTCCGTCTGTTATGTCATGAAATAAAATATAAGAATTGAATAAGTCTGAGACAATTGCAAAATTTCACTGGCTGTTGTAAATCTAAAAATTTTGTTCAATCAGATGGGATTTAACTATACTGATTACATGCCGATCGGTCAGAATTATTAAATTTTCATTACTAGTGATTTATATTGTAAATTCTAACTGGCATTATAAGTGTTTGACCAAAATTTCATCCAATCAGATGGATTTTTAACCATACTTATGTGATTTTTACCAATATTTTAGCTAAATCGAATTGACCAATAATTTTATATTAATTATATTTCGTGACTATAACTACCTGATATAAAGACCTGACCCTCATCTTCCTTTTAAATCAGCTGATTTCTGGCATGCCTCTTAATGCCATAGATTTTTTTTAATTATAATTTTCTTATATAAAGAGCATGAAAATGCTTTGAAAAAGGACAGATCCCAACATTATATTCAATCTACCTTTAATAATAATAATAACAACATTAATATTTTTGCAAATACATATATATAATTTATTCTTGTTAACTAAATAAACTCTCAAATTAATAGCATGTTAAGTTGATTGGATTTAAGTCAAAGCTATCGTCTCCCTGACTTCAAATCATAGTTAACTTATTCAATGGAAAGAATAACATTAATAATGTTTTTCTTCTTATTTCTGAGTTATTTATATATTAAATTCTATAATAAGGTTATTGACCTTCTGTAATTTTTTAGATACCTAATTTTATGTTAAGGTGCTGACCTCCTATGTTTGATTGGATACTAGATTTTATATTGAGATACTTATCCTTTACGCTTATTTGATTGCCTGTTAAAATGCCAAATTGTGATAAAAAAATTGTGTCTAGTGGTGCAATAATTCAATGTAAATCTGTATCTAATTTAGCTAGTACTATAGCATAATTCAAGCCAATTTTGTATTTGAGGTTAGAAATGCAATATATATTATTATGGCCAGCTCATTTATCCCCTAAATGTCATCTATTAAGAATATGTTTATTTTTGTTTCTTTTATCAACTTGCTAAAAAATTGGTGACCCACTAAAGCAGAATTATTATAAGAAAAAGAAATAAGAAATTTTGCTTTAGTAAGATAAAGTTGCAAAAAAGTATCAGATACCACTTTCTGATTGGGTTAAGGTAGTGTAAAAAAAGGTGACAGGTAGCGTAATAAATATGCAATTAATTTTAGATGATACTATGCTATAATTTCAACTGATCTTTAGGACATGTAATTTAAGGATTCAGCTCAGCACTAGCAAATAAAATTCATTTGCAGAATTTGCAAAACGCAATCCATTTTTTATTTCTGCAAATTTTAATCAATTTTGATTTGCCTATTGCACAATTAAAAATTTTTTATTTGCACAACTTTTCCGCAACTTTTGCGTAAATATGCAAATTCACATGTTTATTTTACTAATTTTTATATTTTAATTTCTCAGGACCTTATGACTTAATATAAATAAAATGATGGATAATCAAAAGATAATCAATTTCTCATTTAACATGAAAAATTATTTTCAAAGTATAGGAAAGCGCAAAGAAAATGATGATAATGGTAGTTCTTCTAAAAAAACACACGAAACCCTTTCTAACAAAAAATATAAAAAGGAAAGAAGTGATTGGGATCCAAAATGATCACAAATATATCCTTGGTTAATAAGAAGAATTAATGATAATGGAAATCCTTTAATATATTGTATTTGGTATGAAGAAGGAAAAGTAAAAAATATTTTTACAACAGGTTGTAATAAATTTAAAAAAGATTATCTTGATAATCATTTAAAAGTTGAATCACATATTTCAGTTTCAAGAGCAAGAAATAATACAAATCAACCAAATATAATTACTAGTTTTGTATTACAATTAGGAGTAGATAAATCAAAAATAATTACATTAATGCGAAATGCATATTTTTGTTCAAAAAAAAATTTAACGCTTAATATATACTCTGATCTTTCTAACCTTATAGAATATCAAGTAAAGAATCATGATGAAATTGAATATCAAATTCTACCTACAAAAATTTTACCTTCTCCTTTATATTTACAAACATTACCATCAGCTTCCACTTCTTCCAATTATGCTACTTACAAAAATCCTAGGGCTGGACTTAAATTTATTGAATCAATTTCTTATGTAATTGAACATCAAGTTATAAAAAAAATCAATAAAAGTATCAGATAGAGTATTCTTTTAGATAAAAGTATTACTATTACTACTAATAAACATTTGGCAATTGTTAGTAAACATATGGCTGGAAATGAACCAGTTTTATGCTATCTTAACATGATAAATCTGGAGAATTGTAATGCAAATTCAATTACACGAGATATTGAAATATTTTTAAATGCAAAAGGTTTATCAATTCAATCTTTATATCATATAGGAAGTGACGGAGCATCTGTAATGATTGGTAATTAATTATTTTTTTATTATTTTAATTTTAAAATTTTAATATAATATTTATAAAAATTTTTACTTTTTTAGGTAAAAATAATGGAGTAGCAACATAATTAAAAAACAAAAATCCATTTATTACTGCAATTCATTGTATAGCACATAGATTTGCACTTATTGGTAAAGATTCTGCTAAAGATGTACCATACTTTAAAGAATATAAAGTTATTTTAAAAAAATTGTATGGATATTTTAGTAGATCTTATAATCGATTAAAAAATTTGCATATGATATAAGCTGAAGATGATGATGATTCTGGATTAGCCATATTAAAATTAGTTACAACACGATGGTTATCATTATTACAAACAGTATCCAATTTACATCAAATATTAAATTCTATTATATCCACATTATAAACAAATATTTTTAATGAAGAAGATGGAGCTGAATTAGCAGAAGAATTATTAGCAGAATTAAATCCAAAGTTTATTTTAACAACAAAATTTTTAGCAGATCTTTTTAATATACTACAATGTTTAATCAAAGTATTTCAAGATGATTTTATTACACTTTCTGATATTTATTATTATTTAAATTCTACAATTCTTGCGATTGAAACAACTTTTATTAGAAATAATAATATATCACCAACTTATGGCAAAAATTTACTTAAATATCTTGAAGAAAATAATTTATCATCAAATTCAATTCCTAATTCTTTTAAACAATTTTCTCAATCAATAGTTCAAAATATCAAAAAGTGATTTCCTGATTCAGATTTTTATTATTCAATGCGGATTTTTGATGCACAACAATTACCATTAACTCAAAATTTAATTAGACAATATGGTGTAAAAGAAATTGAAATTATTGGAGACTTTTATGAAAAGCAAAAGACCGATTAGAATGGTAATATTTATGAACCAATAATTGATAAAACAGAACTAAAAGAGGAATGGATAGTTATATGACAATTCATTGCAAATTTTAGGGAGTTTAAATTTATTGAATAATGGTTTAGAATTTTTCTACTACAAGTTTTTTTCTTTATATCCTAATATTTCAAAAATTATTTAAATTATTCTAATAATTTCACTTTCTAATGCTTCAGTAGAAAAGGTTTTTTTAAGACAAAATTTAATTAAAAATAAATTACGAAATAAGATGAAATTGGAAATACTTCATTATCATTTAAATATATTAATTAATGGACCTTTATTATATTCTTTTGATTTTGAGGCGGCATATGATTATTGGGTTGGATTACGACACAAATAATAATAACATTTGAAAATTGTAATTTTTTTTTCTAATTTGATAAATAAATATAATATATACATAAATTTTTAATTTTTAAAAAATTTTTATTATTGCGCAAATTGGTTTTGATTTTTGCAAATTACACAAGATTTTTTTGCGCATTGCGCAACAAATATTTAGCTAAAATTTTATTCACTGCTCAGCACTATAATAGTACTATAGTAGTATCATAGAACTATCGC